ACCGAGTACCCTCAACCAGTGCTCACCCCAGGGTAGTTTCTAAGTTCTGACAGGAAAAAAAATCCCAGGCAAGGTAAGGTCTTTGGCCTCAGAAGCTGCATTTGGACTACTTGGCTGGCTGCAGTTCGAGTCCTAGACCCTGCGGCTTAAACTCACACCAGACATGTGTGCGTGCATGCCCAAAATCCTGAAAGGAGAACGGAGAAGGGATTGTGGCATGGCTACCCTGCGCCCCTGGGTGATTTCTCACTCTGTATCTCTCTGGCGAGCACACATCCCCATACCAAACACCTCTCCCTCCAAGAACAAACAAAAAACAATTTTCCTAACAATCTAAATTATTAGCACCAGTGATAAACCCAACTTCTTCCTACGATAAGCCAGAAAAGTCCATTTTTATTTCTTATACTTAAATTTTAGACACTACCCATCTTATTGAAGTTGAATATCTTCTGGTGCTTAGCCTCCAATTTTTGACGCCCCAATTCTCGCCAAGTGTACTTTGCATAATGAGCGGGCAGTGTTTGTCTTCATGCACATGAGGCTTCTCCTGCCAAAGCAAACTTGCTAAACGGACTCTCACACAAGTGACAGGAAGCCTGAACGCCACGCTGGCATACAGACCCTCACCATTATCACAGGTCCTCGGTCTCCAGGACACTTGGGGGAAGGGAGCATTTGGCTTCTGTGAAGGAAAAATGCGTTGAGACCAGCAACAGGCACAATGGCTATGTCGCTGGGCTCCCATGAGTCCCAGACTTGGTGGCTTCAACTCACACCAAGCATGCGTGATGGGTGCCCAAAATCCCGAGAGGAGAATGGAGAAGGGATTGCGGCGTGGCCACCCCCCGCCCCCACCAGGGGATGATTTCTCCTTTTCTGTCTCTTGTCTGTGTCTTTCTGGTGAGCACACGTGCCCTAGAGCAAAAACCTCCCATTCATTCATACATAAATATGTAAACAGGGCTTTCTGGTAGCAACACAGTTCCACACGTACCTGGGAGGTCTTAAAAGCCACCACCACCTTAGGGATAAGGGCGAAAGACACAGAAATCACCTGTCTTCCAAAGGAGCTTCCAGACACACCAAGTTCTACATTAAATTTACCTACAGAGGCTGTATTTGATCTCCTAGCAGCAGATATCAACAAAATATCACAAAGTGTGAGTTTACTCCAAGTCACCCGAGTGTCGATGGCTGTCAATTTGGCATAGAGAAATATGCCAGAAACAGCACCTTCCCAGAGAAGACAGAGCTGGCTCATTTTTAAAGTGTCAGTACTTTCTGCAGTCCTCCCCAAGCAGACATCCCAGAACCAGGGGCCTTGTCACCAAAAGACAAGAACAAAGCCCCTTTACCTCCTGCTGTGTCTTTGCAGTTTGGCTCCCAACAAGTCACTGGGTTATGGGATCTGCTCTTCATGTGCTAATATTTGTAACTAAACAGAGATTTAGGGCCATGTCTAAGAGAATCACACACGGAAACTCTTTTTGGAAAGTTCAATGATAGGAGAATGCACCAACAGGTGGAGGGAGGTTAAGGCGTTGGATACTCCCACATGGCCGGAACTGGTGTTTGCTTTCTCACTTTCTCTCTCTCCCTGGTCAAATTAAAATGAATGAATGAGTCAATAAAATTAAATAAATAACTCTTAAAAAAAAATGAGGAACCAGCAGTTGATGTAATGGCTATGTTGCTGGACTCCCATGTAGTTGACTGTGGTTCGAGTCTTGGACCTGGTGGCTTGGGCACGTGTGCATGTGTGTCCTCCAAGATCCCAGAGGAGAATGGAGAAGGGATTGTGGCATGGCCATCCCTCCTGGGGCGGGGGGGGGGCTTGCTTTCTGCCTCTGTCTTTCTGGCAGCGCACGCACCCTATAGCAAAAGAAAAAAGAAAAAGAAAAAAGAAAAGAGAAGAAAAGGAAAGGAAAGAAATTAACTGTGTCCGTGAACTGCCATCAAGTGTACTTTCCACCAAAATGTTAAAGTTCCTTCTTAAAGGCAGACTGGTCTCAGGCAGAGCAACAGCCAGTAGAATGGAGAATGGATTCTGACAAAGTTAAGAGAACAATTTCTGATGACGTTTTCAAATACAAGAACCTTTGAGCAAGTCTTCAAACCAGTTGCTTATTTCCACAATATTTATCTAACTGAGAATATTCACAAGGCTTTGCTTAAAAGCCCCTGTGGAGCCTACAGGATACTCTTTGGCTAATATTTAGGGGTGCCAAATCTAACGGCCTACGTTCTATTCTGTATGGGAAAAGAGAACCACAAAACCCACAGTGTTAGTAAATATTTACTTGGAATAAAGTACACACCATCTCCCCCCAAGGTCTTCAAGCCACCTGTTT